TAAAATTGACGTGTTTCGAAGACGTCTCATCTTCTGCTGGATTCGCTACCAAAAGCTTCGAGAGGCTCAGCGTCGGCTTCCTCGTTTCCTTTCATGTGGATACTCATCTGAGGTAAATTCGGCGTCCTTTGAAAGCATCCCGATGTTACCCGTCGGGACGCCTCTCGGTGAATTTCGGACAGCCCAGCGCAGTGGCTGGCAACATTAATGAGCCAATCGAAATTCGGGGCGACTGTCAGCGGTTATAGCCGGACGTAGGGTTGTCTGAATCTTGCATAGTTACCAGCCTTCGTCGCAATAGTCAACTTGTGAATCTGGATGCCTTAATGCTAACAAAGGTAATGTGAATCAATAGACATGGAAACTTACGTCGCTCAGATATACAGGTTATACCATGTGAGCTTATATGGAGGAGCGACGGCTCGCCGTGCTGAAGCGGCAACTTCTCCGACACACCTGTTTGACGTATAATCTAAGCGGCCTTTTTACCAGGCGCTTCTCGCTTATGAGATTTGATGTTTTTTACAATGGTGAAGATTAAGATAATGTTGTTCTGAGTCACGGTGCCGTGTTAGCTCGTCACCACTTCATCCTTGAAGATGTAGTTAGACAATATATTTATCCGAAACGTCGGCATCTGCCTACACACTCACTTGTGTTCACGTGTAGCTGTTCTGACTGGGGATTTCAGTGGTTTCTTCAGTTCGTTGAACAGAGCGTCCATTTACGTCGTTTTGTTTTGTTTGAACGTTGCATCGAAGTAGCTTTTGTGGAGGTAAAATGCGTACGACCTAGGTGCCAAGACTCGAACAAGAAATCTCGCGAATGGAGAACAGGTGTGCTAATTACTACACCACAACGTTCGATAATCCTTCGTCCCATCTGATGTTAAATATTTTCTACTTCTGGTACATGCCAGTGTAAAAGCCGGCTTCGCACAGTCGATAATGGCGTTCATCTCATCCACACCCAGCTCTAATTACCTTCTTTCACCACCGTTTTGTTTAGGACGTCTCTATAGCAACCACTTTGTGGCTGTCTCATTGCCGCTCGCCATATTCTCTTTATAGCGTTTCTTCAAAAGCCTAGACCCTCACGCGCCCTGTGTGAGCGACTGTCCTATTGGCGTTCGTGCACGTGCTCAGGGAGTCCATTAGCTAATCGGCTCTTCCGGTAACCATCGTCAAATCCCTCTGTGGTCAGTCACATAAGTTATAAAGTTTGGACAAGATCTCAACTATCTCTTCTGCTTGAAGGCTTCGGTGGTGTTCTCCGATGTTCCAAACCCATACCACGGTGTAGCTACCCATCAGATCTTCTGAATTACAATATTACAAATATTTTTTTTTCAATTTTGCCAGAAGTGACTTGTGTCTGTACCGAAAATCATTCAAGTACTTCAAAGTTCTTCAAATTCAGGGTAAACGAAGCATACTCCACGTCTTCAGCAGGTTTTCACAACCAACATAGAACTGCACGCACATTTTTCCGGGATGTAATTAATGAAAACAAGAGTTTCGTTGTTAGTTTAGGTTTAACGGACTGGCAGCTGAGTAATTACTATAGGACGTGCTACCGACACAACGCGTTCACATGAGAAACAAGAGACTAGACGGACAGGTATCGATTTTTAAACAAATGGAGCAGGTGGACTCGCGTAACAATTTATCTTCCGGTTAACCGAACGTAACAAATAGTTATTTATTCCGTCGCATAAAGCAAAACGCGAAGCAGTGAAAGAGGACAACAGTGCCTCACCCAAGGTTTAAAAATAGAAAGAAATTAATATTCAATTATTTAAAAGAAATACAAGAGACGGGTGTCTGGAATATTTGAAGACCGAACTGTCATTTTAATTAATTTTCTATGACCCGCGGTCCATATGCAAGTTCACTGTAGTCTGTCCGTCCGTATGCACAAATAATAAAAGATCATCTGCAGTTGAACGAATTAATTTTATTTAAAAAATATTACCGTCACGCCCGGGAAAGAAACTCTGTCATGCACTTGGCGTTGCATTCCACGTGCAATGGAACTGCTGGATAGACGACGACCACTGGGAGAGGAATCTACGTACCGAGTTTAGTTCTACTATTGATAACGTCACGTACGCCTGTCTTTCTCGGAATTTAGAAGTCGCTACATCAAGTACAGTCGTCCCTTAATCTTAACTACACACCACGCCATGTAGACATATGCGGAAATGGAGGTATAGCTCCACGAATTCTTCACCTCAGCTCTAGATGAATGTGGGTGGCCAGCTTCACGCCACGGCCGCTTTACCCCCGATATTGAATAGACAGACGGCTGGGTGTGCCCAGATCTCGTCTGGATGTGACGAACACGAAAATCCTCCCTCGCCAGGAATCAAGGCCCTTAGCTTAGCCAGTGCGCTGTTCATAAATAAGGGTACAATCAAATTAGCGACGTAGTATCAATGCAGGTTCGAAGCCGGGTAGAGACGCGTTGCTAAGCGACCGGCCTGCTCCACAGCCCCCAACTGTAAGTATTCCTGTGATATGATTCATTACGAGAGGAACACGTCGGGTGTGTTCACTCAGACTGCACCAAAATTCGGTTCCATGACGCGTGAATCTGGACCGCTTTATCCGGTGGACGAACTGGCAGCTGCAAGCATCAGAACCGCGAGGCTTAAACATTATCGGGCTATTTCAGAATATTTCCAGAATATATTTGCACAGTGTCTAGTAGTCTACGTTCCCGCAGCTCAGCTACCTGACGTTCTATTTCTTCAGAACGTCTTGCAAAGTGCTGAGTTCATAAGAAGTCAAATGATGAATGGTAAATCGATACACATTCGCGAAGAATAGATTGTGCCCGTATCACAACATTTTTATAAACAGGTTACAACAAAAAAATGAATAATGACAGGCGTCACGTGGGCTAGCAGTTGCTCGCGATTTGAACAGGATACTTTCAGAAAATAAGTCAAGCATTACAGCCGTGCTAAACAACTCTATATATTTTGAGGCCCATGTACTTTTTTAATCCGCTGGATGTTAAAGTAAGAAGCCAAAAAATACGGACCAAACTCACGCGTCCACAAATTACTGCGGTCGTGTGTGCGCCTGCTGTATATGCGACACGTATCACACTTGTGTCGGAGATGTTGCCGCGAGAGCACGGCGGTCTGGTGAGCGTCTGGGCTTGTCTTATCTGTCTGCGCAGATTCTGCCAAAGCGGAGGCCGCACATCTGAACGTCAACAAAGCCACAGCGTCATGACGGCGATTTCACAGGAAACTACGGTAACCAAACTGACCTGAAACCAGTGTAGCCTAGGGATTCCCCTCGCAGTCAGTTCCGCGCGCAAAAACGAATCAAATTCTTAATTCAGTTGTCCGTTGTTCCTGTCCAAAATTGGAGTGTGTCGATAAATTTAGCGGAAATCTCAAATATCAAAAAACAAACTTGAAAAATCGTTCAACCAATCACGAGCTGAAGCGGGGCAGGATAACAGGCACGGCGAAGCAAACTGGCTTTATTTTTACGTCAACTAGTTGCAATCGCTCCTACGATTTTAACAAATACCGTCACAGATTGCGTACAGAATAGAGATTCGAGGTCCCTCTTTGCATTCCGTGCGTTTGGACCGATCTGACTGGACGGGAAAACGGAGCTTAAGGAAATAAATCGTGAAGATGTAAGAGGATCGATGTGACCCACGATCCAACCCCCAATGACGGGGACTGTGGCCGAGCAAACAGTTTTACGAAGACCCCCAGAATCGAGGTAGTTCGGCTTGAAAGCTATTACAGGGCACTTCAAACAAACACTACAATTGAACGCAAGCCGATAAATGGATCTCCCTGCGGGCTACAGGAAAGATTATTTCGACACGTCATAGGCCTATCACCCACATTACGGAGACAATAACGCATGTTGGAAAATTAGGTGAGAAAAGTAGATTTAAAATTTCTACGTTTAAATGTAAGGATAATATTAAAATGAGTAGCAGATAGTAATGTTGTAAAGGTGAATAAGGAACTACATTCTATGTCCTGTAGTTACAAAGAAACATTAAAATTATTCTGAGCTTCTTTTTTAAGTTTGACTTCTTCGAAAGCGGGCAATGTGGAAATGTATATTTAGCATCCGAATAAAAGATCCCAGTAGACAGACTATCGATCCCGAAGACTGACAGAAGTACAGCCGTAATTACTACGACGTCCACGAGGGGCAGCAGCTTCAAGAGTTGCAGGTGACTTTTAGAGGGGCTCTCTTCATTACGTCCCGTGCATTTCCTGCAAGTGGGATAATGCCCCGACATTCTACACGCCTCATGCTGGTGCTTCAGTTACACACAGGGGATCACGACCCGTACGCGTTCTTTGCGTAGATCGCAGTATCCGTCCGCGCATGAAACAAGACCAATCTAAGGAATAACTGAGAATTAACATCCGTCCGATCACATGTTTCATCTCTGAAACCACATGACGGAATTCGACGAAATTTCTTACACGCCAGTGTCGCTCCCACCTCAGAAGTTCGTACTTCCGAAATGTTTATATCGTCGTCAGAAAGTACCAATACGAAGCGGTCTTCAGCAGTATGCTAGTCAAACCAGGTATCACGAGAGCTGCCCATACAATGCCTGCCAAAGATAAGAATGCGTGGAGCTATACCTCAACCTCCATACGCCTTTCGGAATCGCATTTAATTAACAGGCATTTTTACACTTACAGTCAATTTGCGTCTAAAATGTTGCCTTCCGAAATTAAAACGTGGAACGGATGGACAGAGAATCAGATTTGTAATATGAATCCTTTGGAGGTGTAATCAGATGCAAAATTGTTACGTTAAATATTCATCACGAACAAGCATGGCAGTTCAGCTACCGGCAACAAGTTAATATGCAACCCGAAAGCCCTTTGAAGTTCAAAGAGAATGCGTGTAAACTTTATGTCTGTAGAGCATAGCAAACAGTCCGCGTTCCTCACGAAAAGTACGGGCTGAACGCGCCTTATCTGTCTGTTGCAGTCTGTTCTCCGACTTGCGCAACCTGTCCGGCACGGCGCTCATGAACCTGCTGGCAGCGCTCTTCATGGTGCAACTGCTCTACGTCATCGGCGTCGGAGGCGTCCAGGTAACTAAACACCAACTGTCGGTCTTTTTGCAACACCCGGTAAATGAGGGTGGAAATTTCGTAATTATGTCGGCCAACGAAGCCCATTGGCTGCTTCCTACGCGTTCAGGCCTTAGCGTATTCGTGTCGACGTGTATCAACGGACTTCACTGAAGTGTCACTTCGCTTGAAGCATGAAGCGTCGGTGGCCTTCTGGGATGGTAAGTGGACTGTATCTAAAACGCTCCTCCTTTCTCGGAGTGAAGACAACGCGGCGCGCGTACAGAACACGGACTAAGTGACAATCGAAACGTCTGAATTACTCTCAGCGTACAAGAACCTACAGAAAAAGGTAATTTCCAGGACGAAACAAGGGCCTGGGAAACGCACTAGACACCTGGCATGATGTCGGTACTATAAATATACCAATAAGGATAAGATAGGCCGGTATGCAAGTGGTAGGAGGCACACAATATTTTGGATGTAAACATTACCGAATAATTAGACGACGGGAAGAAATAATAATTAAATGAATCAGAAATTCAAATGTAATATTCTAAATGCAATCCTTCGTCAGATGTCCATTAAATATCGGAAAGTTATCCTCTTCTAGATCAATTGTACTTTGTTTTCACATTCAATGTTGTTTACGTAAATGTATGTCGCGTATAGCGTGATCTTGCGTGGGTGAAATGTTTTGTAGTGGTTCTTTTATAATCGGTCAGGTATGAAGAGTGGAGGAGGTCCGTGAAGTTGTTGATTGAATTCAACAGACTCAAGACAGGGTACAACGGCTGGATATTACGAAGCGGTAATAAAAAAAAAATTCGAGGTGTAGTGCGTAGTAAGTAGAAGATTATGAAGACCGCCGAACGCGACACCTTCCTCTACATATTTATGCATGTTTCCAATCTCCTCCAATCCACAATCCACATACATCATACCACCGACAGAACGTGGACTGCGTGAGGCTCACATAGCGTACATAGCAGATCGGCGGACAAGTCTTCCGTCCGCATGACAACGCTGACAGAAAAATACAACGGCACAGCTCAGGAATTGGGCGAATCCAGGTCGCGCGGTTGAAGTCACCGAGATGAAAATCAGGATTAAAGAAGTAACGTGTAATTAACTCGCTTGCTGCATGGAAATCGCGTGGAGCGATACGATAACTGAGAAGGAAAATATGAGAACGACACTGGTCTAAGTCACCGAACGGTTCGAAGTTCCAAGCGACTGTCTCTTGAGATATTCAAAGAAGTGGGAACTCGTCTTTGTCTGCAACTGGAAATGTGCAGTACAGTCTATTCCGGAAAAACGTTACTTGGCATTCAGGGCAGAGACCCCCCCGACTTCACTTACCTTCATATTCGTTTATCGCAGATAAAACTACAATGACACCAAAATTATCACGCTGTACATAGACCATCATATTCCTTACATTTCATTCGTTAAACATTCAAAATATCAAAATTTGTATCAAACAAAACTTTAAAATTAATAGGTCTATAGTTTTTATTGCATACTACGTGGTGATTTAACTGAACGATGTATATAACAATTAAATTCAAAGCACAAATACCATTTAAATCAGTTCAGAAATTTCGAAAATAAAATACGTCGACAGAGAGACAGATGTATGTCCTCTGTGAGAAAGGAACATACGGCAATTATACACGCGCGTGCGCAAATCTACAGCCAAATGCACTGATTGTCTTCAGCGGTTCTGTTCTGGAACACGAAATTTCAATGCCGTTCACCGGTTTCATAAAACTATGTCGCCTACTGATATTCGCCTCGGTCTCTCTTCATGCAAATTTCCAACCATATTTTTTATACGTTTTTCAAGTGTCCCAGCCAACATTATTCAACGCGGCGGTAACACAGAGCAAAGGACCCAGGGGGAGAGGGGGCGGAAATTTGTCGCGTTTTGCCCCCTCAGCTACAAATGCGCGATGTGTGAAGTCAGTAGAGAAATTAACTTCGCTATTACACGGTGGTCCAGCGGTTAGAATGCTGGCCTTGTAATCCTGGAGGTCTCGGGTTCGATTCCCGGCGGTGCCCGAATTTATAACTTGTGTTGGGCAAGGTCGTGGTCTAGGCAACACGGAGTTTTCCTCCGTGGCATCCCAACAATTACTCCATTCACACACAGAAGAAGGCAATGGCAAACCACTTCTGGATCATCTGCCAAGAACGTATATGAACAGGTCCCAGTCCGAGAAAAGGATGGAAGGATCCTGTTCATATGGACCTGTCGTCAGACAGAACACTAAATAAAAAAAAAATTACACTATAATCACTTTATTGCAAGATACTGTACATCTCAACACGAGAAAAACTCGTAGTATGCGCTGTATTCAGCGCCTCGCGTCTGAAAATGTCAACAAGAGGTCATTCGCCTTGGATAACTTAAACTCAATTAAAAGAGACAAATGAAGAGAATCATTACATGCACTATATTTACAATCTTGCATTGAAAGGGTTACGAGATGTTGAGGCATAATGGAACACAACACGCTCATCAGCCAAGAGAATCAAGGGCGTTTGACAGGGAGACGCCACCCTCACTAGGCAGTGGCTTGGAGTCCGTGGAGGCAACGCGAACTTGACAGCAATGTCTGCGCCACTGAACCTCAAGATGAAGTAAAAGTCGGCGCGGATGAATCCGCAAACGGAGTTAAATACATCGAACGATTTTTTTTTCTCTTGAGAAAGAGACGTTCGCTGATTTGGTCACATAAATCCGCGTTATAGTGCGAAACTTTCTGCGAATCGGAATTCGGTCTGAGAGGAATGTAATTAACATAATTCCCGCTGCCCGCTCTTTCCTGCATCTGTAATTCCGGAACCAAACTGTTCTGTTCCAGGACCCGGAGCTGTGCATCGCCCTCGGCTTCTCCCTCCAGTACATTCGCCTCACGGTCTTCTGTTGGCTCACAGCCATGACCTACGACATGTACAGCAGCTTCAGGTGAGCGTCGGGCAGTGCCTTGAAGGCAGACGTCTGAGGCCGAAGCTGGTCTTTTTAATATTAATAATTCAGTCCGTACCGCGAAGAAAACACCACGCTTCACCATTACAAAGATCGACTGGTTAATGCTGTTTAAAGAAATAATCGCTGTTTACAGTGAGAATCACACGAAACTCATAGATACAGTGCGTAGGCGTCTAAATAATATTTAAAGATTCAGTCCGTACCGCGAAGAAAATACCACGCTTCACCATTACAAAGATCAACTGGTTAACGCTATTTAAGAAATAATCGCTGTTTACAGTGAGCAGTCCGTACCGCGAAGAAAATTTTACAGTGAGAATCACGCGAAACTCATAGATACAGTGCGTAGGCGTCTAAATAATATTTAAAGATTCAGTCCGTACCGCGAAGAAAATACCACGCTTCACCATTACAAAGATCAACTGGTTAACGCTATTTAAGAAATAATCGCTGTTTACAGTCATAATACGAAAGACAAATGTAAAATGAAGAGTTTCTGATTATTGAAGCAAGTGGTACGCATAGTTACCACTGTGATTTAAACGCTTAAAGGTTTCTAGGGAAGTGATAAGCATGCGTACCATCTACTTTCATTTTCAGTCACAAAACGTTTTTCTATTGACGGACTGATGTTTATAATACAGGTTCAGCGTAGGATTTGAGGTTCTCATGGAGGGGATTATTAAGCTGGGAGTCCTCTGCCGTGTAGTCTGGCAAACGTTTACCGACGTTTAGGAAATACTTGTTTGCTTGGAAGTAGAAACGAAATCCGTAACAACGTCTAGATGAGGTATGGACTGTCTGTTTCCGTAAAAGGGACAACCTGAACCTCGTGCCGATGGCGGATCCTCAGATCAGCTACTCCTTCTGGAAGTACAGTCTGTTCGGCTGGGGTACGCCTCTGCTCCTGCTCGCGGGCGCAATAGTATTGCAACTACGCCAGAAAGCGGGCAACCTGCTCGACACAGCAAAAATGCAGCACACCAACTGCTGGTAAGTCCCGCCGACGCTTTATAATATGATCGTGGCGTTTTTCAGGGTCACTACACCGACCGCTGTTTCCCGCAGGTTCCTGGACCACGACGCGTTCGTGTTCGGATTCGTGTTGCCGGTTCTCGTGCTCCTGGTGGCTGTCATCGTGTTCCTGGCTCGAAGCGCAGTGACAGCCCGTTTCACCGTCAGCATGCAGGTTGATCGCCGTACGCGCGAGAAGATGCGACGGAAGCGGTATCTGCAGCTTTTCCTGTTCCTCAAGGTCACGGCCCTCATCAGCACAGTCGCGGCGCTGGGCGCACTCGCGAAGCTCACGGGTAAACTACACAGGACATGGTTCACTAGGCCCACATCACGCGACATCAGAACCCGTGTCACTTCTTAAAGTGCCGTACCAACATTTTCAAAGCCGACTTTCAAATGTAAAATAGCCGTTTAATTAAGAGTGTAAAGTTCACACGTATTCTACAGTACAGGTGTCCCAAAACTATATATACACTTTATAAATTAGCGAATGTAGCGTAGGTGTTAGAAATGACCACCCTTAGCTTCGTGGCACAACTGACGGCAGCGATAAACTGATAAAATGGTTAACATTCCATAACATAAAATTTATAAATATTTTTGATCACCCTGTATATACTGAAATTTAAAAGTGGCGTCAGCGTCACTGACACATTTTAGGCGGACCTCAGAATGTGATGTTCTTTTCGCAGGGATCAACGCGTTCTGGGTGGCGTTCAACGTGGGTCACGGCCTGCAGGGCATCGCCGTGGCGCTGTGCGTCGCATGCAACTGCCAGGTCCTCAAGATCTACACGCGAACGATGCGCAGAAGACGTCGTTGCAACAGCAGCGGCAAGGCTGCCAAGTACTGGCCGGTCGGACCATCCTCGGAGTTGTCCAAGTCCGCCAGCCTCCAGCTCCTCACTTGGGAACCCACGCCGGACGCCGTGTAGCCAGAAGAAACTCCGAACACCAGGTGTCCCAGAGATTCTAACCCGCGGGGATGTTACAAGAAAGTAGTGGATCTAAGGACGCTGAACACCTGCATAAACTAATTACACAGCGTCGTTTATAAAACAAGGCAACAGGATGATATCTAACTGCTGCATCCCTGGATGAGACAGAGGAACCTGCCGTGAAGGGCATTAAAGCTTTAGGCTGCGGTATACATCGTGAAATAGACGATGAGGGGCTAATTACTGCCTGGCAACAAACAAATGCGAAGACATTTACAGCACTGTTTCTAAATCCAATGAGATTTCATCTCAAGGTCACTGAACGACATATCACCATTTAGCATACAGAGTGCAGAAATGAATAATTTCGGTATGTAGGTCTATAAACCCCCCTCCCCCCCCCAAAAAAAAATATCCAGAGTGGAGAACGTTGGTCTTTAGTACAAAGATGTAAGACTTGAGGTTCTCACAGCGGTGAGTATGAAGATTTCCGTCTTCTGGGATCTTGCGCCGTGTAGTCTGGTAGAAGCTGGCCGACGTTTCGGAGATGCTTACCACTTCCATCATCACTGTACGACGCAACATCCCAGAGGACAGTCGTGTTCACACCTGTTGCTGCGATAACCTGAAATTCCATCTGTTTTTTTTAAACCTCGCAGGTTATAAAGCAAAATAGTAACGTAGAACAAACAATATCCTTCGAATTCTGTTTAGAGTAACGCTAGCGACGCCCAGTGATAACACATGTAATTACCAGTAATCCCCGCCCTTCTGATCAATACGAAACGAACAGGAAATTCATTGGCAGTTCACTTCACCTCATTGTATACTCTATTTCATGTAGATAGAATTGTATGAACATATCGCTGTTTGTGTGTCAGATAACCACAATAAAGCCATTTCGATATTAACATGGAGCCGTGCGCAGGAGTGACGTAAGTCCAGGCTCAAGGGTCGGTTCATCAGAACTCCGTGTCCGTAGCACGTCGACAGATTACGTCTCTGTGGCTGGACTTCCGTTGCTCCGGCATGTACGTACCGAAAGCGTTCAGAAAGGCACCTTCAAATTTTAATTCCTTATTCCTTCGACAGTTCGCACTCGTTCTGAGACAAAGCCCATCCCTTGCTGGCTATCAGGCATTCAGAATTATACAGGGTGATTCAAAGCTCCAGTAAAAAAAGAAACTTAAGGAGATTGGCAGAAATATCACTTGAACCAGAAGCTACTGTTTCCAATTTACGAAGTTTTTACTTTCTTTTCGCTTTTATTATAAATCGTTTCGATAAAAGAATGTTTCTGCAGAATGTTTCAGTCGTCGCTTAAACCGACTTCTTTCAGAGTACTTTTCTGTTCGTGTGGTGGGGAATTTTAAGACCTGTTACCGTTACTGCTGACCAAATCTCATTAACGCGATTCAAGCGTCTGTACTTCCGCGGACCATCAGCGCGAAGTCCCCATCAAACGATCATAGCAATAGCCTACAAATCTACATCAGCGTAAAAAAAACGCCGTCTTTTGGAAAAAGTGTGAAATCTTAAGCGTAAAAGTTGATTAATTTTTATCCAAATCAAACATTGCCTCAAAGTATTGCACTGGAGCTCTGAATCACCCTGTATTTAACTTTCTCCTGCTAATCATCATTCCACATCAAAGCTCTTAAACGTGGGAGGAGGCCGATCGGCCAGCAGGACCGGCGCTGGACTGGGCAGGACTCGAGACAGAGATGATTCAATTTCTGTTAAGACACACGACATGTAGCTTTAACAGCTTCAAAGTCCCACTTCTCATTAGATCGATAAACGGCGAATGAAAGAAACAACATAGGACGTTTCTACCAGCGCAGAAACCATTCAAATATTCAGTTGAGAACTTCAATCGTCTGTAAGGTCAGAGGTCGATTCCACGCCTTTTACACGCCATCTTGTAATCAATCTACTGGCTGTAGTTTTCATGTCAGCCTCGAAGGAACGGCGAAATAAATGCCGGTCGATACCACCTCCTTTTAGTTAAATTTTAATCCTTTGGCCGACATGAAGGACCCACGTGATTATTTCATCCGACTTACGGCAACAGTGGCACGAGAACACAGCAGAAGTCTTCGACATGCTCAGAATTTTACGATGTTACAATTTTTACAACAGTAAGAAACACGCAACTACATCTTATTACGCTCTGTTTACAACACGCGACGTGCGCCACACGTCCCAAGCTCCTCCAGTGTTAAATCACATGACCACATCGCGCAATATAAAATAAAAGTCTAATCGGAAAGTTAAAACATCAAAATGCACCGAATAGTATCGTCTTTAGGTTTCTGATTAAAAGCGGTGCTGTATTTTTTCGAATGTTACAACAGCGCGTTTGGTAAACCGCGTATAACCGAATTTTACACTACGCAATAACGGAAACATTGATAACGACCCCGCGGTAACTACGAATACATCGAGTTTAAAAAAAATATAAGTCAACTGATACGTGTAGTGCAATCGAGCGGGGGGGGATAATATTAAAATGGAGCTTGAGAGGACGCGAAGACAAACTGACGCACCTTCGGGGACAAGCAAAAGGCGAATAATTTCGTGACTAGCTTAGCAACCACCAGGTTTCAAGGGCCCTGAAGCGTGTAGTTACTTGGTTGAGTCAGCAGAGAGCATACAGAAATTAAGCCTGAGGAAGACGATGGCGCAAATCTACGACATTATTCATTAAAGTTTCTGTTTTCAGGTGGCCACGAGCGTAATTAAGGGACGTTCCTTCACGAGGCGACAGGAAAGTGACCTATGGCAACATCCGGAAACGCCTGAAAGTACGACGACCGGACATTTTTTTTCGACCCCCCCCCCACCCCTCCTAAAACACAGCCGACTGTCGAGCACAAATCGTGAATTAATGGGTGAAAGTGACGGGACGCGAAACCAATCAGGACGCCGCGAACAGACGTCAGAGCAGCCCGGGAAAGCAAACGGACATTCGGCGATCAGCTCGTACCAGGTGAATACTCGCGATTCGTCAACAAGAGTTATCGACCCCGTACACCCTGTGATGTTGGCAATATTGGCGCCGACAAGCAAGCACGGGGTGGGGGTGGGGGTGCCTTATTGCAAGAACGTACGCTCGATCCACGTAAACTCTCGTTTCTGTGTCCAAATATCATACATTATACGACGCCTCGTCTACGTCGAAAGACTTGAAACGTCACAAGAAGACGAGATGAGAAAAGGAGTTGATAGGACGGAGGAATAATCAGATAGAGGAGAATGCAGTAGTTGGGGGCACGCAGAAGGTGAAACATGCATGCAGAATTTTAGAAGGTAAATCTGAAGAGAATTTGGGAGACCGGGACGTAGGTGGATTTAATTAAACTAAATCGTCTGGCTAACCCAGAGGCGGTATCCTCGATACTGTAATGAACCTTAGGGTTCCACAAAATAAAGGGAATTTCTTAACCAGCGCAGCGACCATCAGCTTCTTAAAAGGACTCTTGCGTCAGTATTACGATTACGAGCGAGCCAGGTAGCTCAGTCAAGTCACTGGCTACGGAATGGACAGGCGCAGTGGACGTCTCCCCTAGCCTCTGTCGTCAAGACCCCGTCTGGGGCCCACCCGCTCTACTGTCCAAAATGGGTAACGTGGTCCTTTCCTCGGGAGTAATGCGCGGCCGAGTCGTGACGCTGACCACCCCCTCCCTCCAAACAGTTCGGAATAATTCGCACACCCAGAGCCATCTATCGTTTATTTCTAAAACTACGGACTAGTTGAAATAAAGTAAAGAAAGTACTAGTTACCGTCGGTAATGTGCAGATGAATACTGTCGTGGACAAAACCAGTAAACATGTTCTGTATACTGATGTTTTGCGAGGCACATGCCAAGAGAAAAATAAAACACAGAGTGCAACTGGGTCAATCCTTCTGGAAAATGACCACTGGACAGACCAAGGAGGAGATGGGAGGTCATTTTAAAATCTACACTATATTTACCAATTCACTAAGTGCCAATGTGGAAATATGTAATGGTCAACTTTATTCAAATGTCTACTTCGTCCACTGAATGTGTCTTTTGAGATATTCTGTATTATACATGTCTGTAAGACACGTTTCATACAAAGCGCAGTTATGAAGAGAAGCTATTAAGACTAGAAGGACATTTCAGCTGTCTTCATAAAGGTCAATATATAATTTTGTGCTCACCGAATGTCATGACGATCTTGTAGAACTCCGACAAAATTCTCTCTCCACTATGTCATTAATACGGCAATCACAATGGCCACGAATTATTAAAACCAAACTTAAGTACGCACGCTGGCCTTTCCCAGAAACATATTCCTCTAAACAAAAATAATTAAGTTTCTCTAACAGTCCGAGACAGTTCACGAATCATAATGAAACTTGCACTAATAACAAAATACACAATAGCAAGTATGAGTCACATATCACTTGTAAACCACACGTAAAACTACAATACGCCAGCCACTATTTATATTAATTGCAAGCACAAGTGTTACAAGATTCTTAAATAAGCACATTTCTCAAAACTCAACATTCCGCCATTTCCCGCACTATCAAACAAAACATCACGGAGATCGAGTGTGTATTGTTTTTCCGAGTACGTTCATTGCACAAGATGATACCAAGCGATACACTTGCGAGGTTAGGGCGACTTCTTTTGTTTCTGGTATTTTACGGACTAAATTCCCCACCGATCAACCCTTTATATCCCATGAAAGTGGCAAAACTCACAATTACAAGTCACTAAACGGAAAAATAATGTCACTACTTGAAAAAGATACTTTCCTCTCTTGTGCTAAAAAAAATATTTAATAATATATTTGTTGTTCTTATAGTGATGAATGTTTAGTATTTACAGCTGGAATGCTCCCCATCTTCAGACCTGAGAATTGAGGAAGTATGCTTCTTTTAAATGCTGATATCTGCCTGAGTCCACTTAGAACCCAGAAAACCCAACAGATATCCTCAGCACCATAAAAACATCACACATACATCAACTTATAAACCATTTGGATTTAGAAAGAGGGCAACCTTTAAACAACTACTGCAGTCGCAAAGCATTAAAAACATGAAAGCCTCAAGAAACTGACATGAATATGGGTGGGTGTTAATTTTGGCCAAAAGAAATTATAGATTCCCAGAGTGTGACTGGAATTAAGATATTGATGAAAACTCCTTGGAGACCAAAAACTCAACTTGGGCACAGACCACTCACACCCTCTGTGCAGAGGTACATTTCCTTGCTTCCTACAAGCTTTTCAGACTAATTTCATTAGCTTTAATTATTTATGTGTTGAACCACTTACCTACCTAAGGGCACTGACCTTAGGGATGTTTCAACCAGTTTTAAAACAAGCAATAAGCCATAAATCTTCAGGAACAAACAATCTGTAACTCTTCAGAGCCAATTAAGTTTCTCTTGCCCTGTGCCGCAACCTCTAGCAATCCACAGCTTGTAAATACAACTCACTCACAAAAGCATAGAAAATGTTACAAATTCCCTGATGAGCTGGAAGGAGATAAATGAGAAACACACACGGTATTTTGGGGATGGGGGAAGGGGTAAACTGCGATATACTGAGCTGGAAGGAGATAAATGAGAAACAGACACGGTATTTTGGGGATGGGGGAGGGGGTAAACTGCGATATAAGAACAAAAGACAATATTTACGAAACCTTATCAGGGTAGTAAAGTAACTTGTGGCGTGCTTCGATGACAATATTGATGAACCTTCTGGTTCTAACATATGAGTGAATGTAAACCATTTCTGAACAGATTTACAATTACAAATGACAAAACGCTGACAGCACCCACAAATATGACAGCAAAAGGAACTGTCACATGCAGGGTGTCAGAAAATGTCAGTGCAAGAATTGGCACGAAAGACACGCACCAACATTTCTAACCATTAAATGGTGTCAAATTACCACAGTAAATAATAATTACCAATCCTCCTGGTTCTCTGGCCACGTGGGAAATACCGGAGACCAGCAGTCCTTCATTCCTTGAACTGTTGTTACATTATATTTTCCATAAATTGATTTTATAATGACACTACTTCAATGTTTTATTCTATTGTTATATATTACACATTTTTTCTAAGCTTATCAATAAAGTTTATTACAACTAAACCTCAGTGTAGTACTTATCATACAATCTTCCCATCCTCTCAAGTTTTTGCAGCTACTTAACCATTTTAGTAAAAATCAAAATGTATGCAACCAGAGTGCACATGCTGACTGGTTAATATAACAAATAGATGAATGATTAGCACACAGCTGAAGCTACTAACAAGATGAACAATTTTTAAAAGTTACAAAGGAAAGGTCTCTACACTCCTGAACACAAAATTTTCACTTTTTAAAGAAATTCATGAATGGATCTTTAAGAAGTAAACAGAAAACACCCATAGAGATAACACAGGAATAAAGGAAAGCAGAGTGAAACTTCATAAATTATGAGCGGAGAGAGAGAGGGGGCAGGGCAGTTCAGCCACGTCTATGGAATTAAAACTGGTTAGGAAAATGGTAATGATATTGAAACCAAAAGTACAGATGTGCAGGAAAGAATGACAATGGAAGGGAAGAGGCAACAAACATGTCGTGATTCAACTGAAACTACTGGATGAGAGATGAGGAAATTTTTACCTCACAGACAACTCTTGCGACAGGATACAAAATTAGAACTCTGTAATTCAAAGTTGACCCCATTCATTGTGGCTGATACAATGCTTTGCTACCTTTCAGTGGTCAAGTTACAATATTCTGGTTACAAACTCATATGTGCTACAAGAACCTGACATGGGGATAAAAACAAATGACAAACTTTTGGCACGTGTCACTGACCTCTCTTGCAACTCCTAAGTGAAGATAAATAACAAGCTCAAATGGTAATGCAGTAATAAAGTGGTAAGTATCTCTAAAAGCTTTACAGATTTGACTGCAGCAAGTTTACAGGTGTGCCAATAACGCGTGGTTTGATCTCAAAATCAGTTCCAGATTTTGCCAACTCAGTACTTCAGGCTAATCTCATCCCTTAATTTTCTCTCATCAAGAAAAATTTATTTTAAGGAATCCCACATGTACATTCCGCACCTCTGACTGCAGAAAGCGTTGTGTTGGAAACATCTGGAATACCACAAACTTCATGAAATCTTTCTACACATCTCATGCTTCAACTCCTTAGAATCAATTTATTTTTCTGATTGTAACTACACGGACTTTCCGACCTTCAGAAGGTACGTACTTGTGGCAACAAGTGTATTGTAAATGAAAACAGTGTGACCATTTTGTTCTATTTATTATTTTAAACGAGGCAGCAGTAGTCCTTCTCGCTCCCTCAAATAATAATAATAATAATAATAAAGAATCAAATTTTGATTACTTTCATAAACACTTTCTTCCGTGTTAAAACCACTGCTTTTACATGAAATTTTACAAACTTGTTCTACAGCGAGTCCCTAGAAAGAGATGACTACTCACATACTAACAGATATTTGAACTACACATTCATCTTCTATAGACCTGCTCACAGGGGACCTAACTAAAAATAATAATTACAAACATCAAGATGATCTAAGGATGACAATGAATGACTATTACAGATGGATGGATGGATGCAGTGAAATGTTATCAGTTTTGCCCTTTCTGCAACATCCTGACTCCTCGGCAATATTTTGGTCAGGGTGAAGGGGGAATTAGCAGAAATGGCACATCAATACAAAATAAAAAGCAACAAAGACTTCACTCCCATCCCATGTTGGTGTTAATTGACATTCTTACAATGGACCTTCTTCCTTCACATATGTAAGCAAATTACACAAACCAAACTCTATAGTTTGCAAATAAAACTTGGATGAGGATATTACATAAACCTGGATATATCATATTTTCTCAATGTAGTATGTTGCACTAGAAAGCACATTCACATACAAGTCTTCTTAACTCCTTCGTTGTGAATCGGACCACTTTCAAAAATAAAGAGGAAGAACCATTTTAGGACTACAGGATCATTAGCATCTGCTGCTGGTACCAACAGTTAAAATCGAAACAAATTTTCTACATTCCCATTACAGAACTTTCCAGAACAAGCCTTTTACTTTATGCTCTTTAATGTTACAAATCTCTGAGTGGAAGATCCATCATGTTAGAAAGTGCATCATAAATTTAAGAAAATATGACATCAGTTATATAACTGATAGTACATTTCATTTTTAAAACCACCGCCAGGAGGTTTATTCCAGCCAGAATGCCCAATGACTCGCCAAAGAACACGTGACACAAAACTCGAATGTTGAAGATCGAGACAGCGCAAAGGAATGGTTTAGGCCCAACACTTGTGGGCTGCTGAGTTTTGAACCCTATAAAATTCTTTGAACAAAAATAAATTATTAAGATAAAATAAATTAGCAATTCTATGAACAATTTCACAAGAACAGTAATACAACCTTTGTGGTGACAAGTACTGCAAATTCACTGCAGGAACAGTCTCTCACATCGAACCAATATGATTACAGAAGGGCAAAACATAGCAGTCAGTGTAGTTCCTAAAACTGAATGATCATGAACAGGATTAGTAATTGAAAAAGAAAAAGAAAAAAAGAAAAACTCTAAACAAACATTTTTTAAAATAATTTCTATAAATTCATGTAAGTTTATCCTACAGTACTTTAAAATTGATAACTCCTCCCTTAACTTTTACAAACTTTATAATTTGCACTGTAATGTAATGCAAAATAAAAAACCATTTCACTCTACACAGCATGTACTTTAAAAGTATAGATTGTGTATGTCCTGGTTTTTTTGAAAATCAACAAGATACGAACCTAACACGTACCTTCCCCCCTTCCCCACGTAACTGCCTTCCTGAGGTCAGGCACCAAAGAAACACATTGCACAGAAAGGTGGTATAGAAAGAGATGAGGCAAAAACAATGTAAAGGAGGCTGCTGGAGATCTGGTATGGTCTTCGATCACTCGGGAAGAGGGTGATTCGTGACACACTTGTGCCTGCCACTCACAACAGACACTATGTCCATGTTTCATGTTTTCTCTTGAAGAATTACCTGAGTTGGTGCCAACAAACTGCAGGGCCCGTCTTACAGCCACAAGCATGAACACGAAGAGGCATACTTTTGCAACAAACATCCACATATTAAAAATTCAACACACTCCACGGCTGCGAAAATATGCCAACAGACCCTCACTGAGGCATTCTGAAGTGACAAACATATTTTTAAATCTGTCTACAACATTGCCTTTTTAAAGTAAGATATAATGTATAAACATTTTGAACATACTACGAAATGCATCTTCCACCAACAGGGTTTCAGTAACACGCAGAACTGACTGACAATGTTATAAAACTATGAAAGATCAAGAAAACGAGATAAGAACAGAATGAAGGAGAAATACAAAATGTTTGAACTCCAGAGATGCCATTTCCAAATCACACCAGCGTCTGAGAAATGCTGTGCAGGATAATTTGGGACTCACGTGGGGTGGAGGTGATCAGCACTTACCAACAAATTCACTGTCAAGAATAAGATGAAACACACACAATATTGTAGCACTATTGAAGACTCCCATTTTTATATTATATCTTTTAAATCATTTTCTTGCTTTTTTACAGGGCAAAAGTTCTATCCCTCTCGCTCGCTCTCTCACTCATCTTCTGTACAACTTGTTCTAAACTGTATTTAAAATATGACGACTCAGCGTCAAAAGGGATCTGCAAGAGAAACAACAGTTGTTACATACGCGGAATGTTAGCGGACAGAATGTGCAGCCAGTGGCACTGCGTACTTACATCATATAAAAATCAGGTACACGAAGCCCAGCGATGACTGTTACTCTGCTGCCTTCTGCTTCCCTTCTTCTGTCGATGCCGTCACTGTGGTTGTGGGTGCAGTAACCTTGTTGTTTTCAATGGTGGGGGGTACAACATTGACGGCAGGTTTCCTGGGCTCGCCGCTGGCTCCATCTGTTGTCGGCGTGACAAGTGCTGTTGTTGCAGATGCTGGTATTGTTGGGACTGGGGCAGGCTTCTCCTCGCCACTAGGAGCTTCCTCATCGTCATTAACCGCGTTGTTTTCGGCCACGGATGCCGGTTTCTCAGCGGCATCAGCCGTATCCTTGGGCAGAGATGGATGTTTGTCGGCTTCTTTATGGTTCCCATCTGAACTTTTGGTCTGCAACATCGTGTATCAACCACTACATACACCAACAACTCTGAGACTATTGGCACTTTTCCGGAAGAAGCAGACAAGGTCAGTACGACTACAGTAACAAGTATACTACAGCAGCTGAAAATTATTTCTCACCTCTGTGTTCCCAGCATTTTCAGTTACTGGTGCCGTCTCTTCTGGTCCATCGGAGGATGATTCGGACTTCTGTGTCTGACTACTGCTCAAGCCCTGATCTGCTGGTGCAGGAGTGGGGGCGGCAGGAGTCGGTTTCTCCGCATCCACCTCCATCTTGGAGTCCGCATCACTTCCTTTCTTCTTTTCTTGTGGCTCCTCAGGCTGACAACAATCCCAATACAATATACACACCGAACTGTGTGTAAAATACTATGAATTCACCTTCCATAAATGTAGTAACAGCAATGCTGTACATCACCAACCATTTCAATATAAAATTTCCATAGCGTACTTCTAAACGGAAACAAAGACTGGATGAAGTACAGTGGTCCCACAATTTAAGTCATTTAACTGGTTCTGTAAAGGTAACGGATGAAAAAGGTTGGATATGCCGCAATACGCTCGCATAATATAATAATAATTTGTTTCAAGGAAGTCATTGAAGCACCAAATCCTTTTCAGGTAAACAAATACCAATAAAGACTGGCCTCGACACTGTCAAAGAGTGGAATTCACATTACCACCCTAAAACTGTGGATCACAAATCCAAATCAATATTTCCATAATTATTCTTACTATTCCAGGCAGTATTTCTGTTCATGTCCAGTACTGACCGACTGTTCTTTGCCAGCTTTCAAATTGTTTCCAAAGCTGGACAACTAACAGCTGTGTTTGTTGCAAAAATAAAGTTGTAAATATAACACAACACTGGGAGGGAAGTGCTTTGAGAATGTCTTGTGCTACGAGTGTTCCTCGTGGACTAATGCCGCAGGACAATGGAAATAACATACATGATGTGGCGTGAGATGATGGGTACTATGGACTAATGCCGCAGGACAATGGAAATGACATACATGATGTGGCGTGAGAAAGGTGGCAACTTGGATGATGACAGATATGGAAATAATAACGTTAAACAGCGGATAATGGATAAAAAAATTTAGACTAAAATAATAACGTTAAACAGCGGATAATGAATAAAAAAAAATAGACTGGAAAGCTGACAACAGATACCAAGGTCCAACTGTACTAACACATTACTTTCGCTTGAATCGTTGTTTGGGTGTGTTAGTCACTCCATATATGAATATGAACTTCACAACTATTTAATGCAGACACCACTGACATAATAACTGCAAGCAAAGACAAATTCTGCTAAGAAAAACGGCAAAACATTGCCTCATTACCTCTGGTTTTCCATCACTCTTATCATTTTCCGCATCATTACTGGTTTCTTGCCCATTGTCATCCTCCTTTGTTTTTTCGTCCTGGTTCTCGTCTCTCTTAGGCCTGCCACGTCGCGAACCTGAGGAACAAAAAGTATTCTTCAAATGCATTTCCAAAGACATGCAGCTAACAAGCAGCACACACGCATCACTGAAAGCCAGAGCTGACGAAAATGAGATACAAAGCACTGCCTGCTTAATTCCTCAGTACTTGACAACTGCAGATTTATAGTTTCAAATAGAATAGGAAGACTGTAATGCACAGTCCCCAGCATTTTCTTGGTGTCTGAGCAAAACCACAAAAATGAGCCATAATTTAAACCAGGTACCTTGTACATCCATATCAAACATGTTACTGCCACTCCAACCTGCTCAGTGTCTTCTCATTAAAACAGGGTGGATAAAAATATCACATCTGGGCAAAATAAGAAATCATTGTCAGCTGCTGGCAAGCATCTGTGTTAATACATAATATTTAATAATAATAAATTATATAATAAATGTGCCGGGCGTATATTATATGGACTACACTAATGTCAGAAACACTTGAAACCACTGTAGAATACTAAAGTAAATCACGAAAAGGAAAAACCTGAATGACAGCATCCAAGCACTTTATGTTACTGGCTGGCAGTACAATTCCTGTAAACCTGATTATGTTCTAACACTGTGCAAGTTATGTGGGTTGTCAAATGAAAATTAATTTTAAAAAGGAAATGAGCGAAATTAATTTAGACCAGACTACTTCAATTTAGACTGAAAATGGCTTACTTCAGAAACAACAACCCCCCCCTCCCCCCAACTACAATATCAAATATTCCACATGCATTGTGTATTATCTACACCACGGAGTAGATCCATCCACCTGTTCCAAACTTCAGCAACCAGCAATGCAGTATCCACAAACAATTTACCATTTTACACTGCGGCAGAAATACATTAACTAACCTCTTCCTCCAGAAGGTGGTGTTTTCTTTTCTCTCTTGGTTGGAGGAGGTGGAGTGGGTGGGACACCTCTGGTGGACGACCTGGTACGTCGCCTGTTTTCCACTTCTGCACTCCCACTCTCCTCTTTGTGCCCTAAACCCTACAATACAAGAAACATGACCATCAATCACTCATCACCTCGCTAGTGTTTTCATATAAAAAGTAGCAATGTTCAAATTGAACTGTCTAAACAAAAAGGACTCAATAACTATTACCTTTAAAAGGGCTTCTCCTTCTTGAGTAGTTCTTGTGATTGTAGACAATCTTTTACCACCACTTCTTCGATTACGACCCTGTGGAGCATCATCTTCTGATTCCTGCCCATAACATCACAAATACGAAGCATTGTATTACTTCATTTATTTATATAACGTGCTTATAAATTACAACCAAGAGCTTAAATAACAACATTTCCAAAAATACCCAAAACATATCAAAAAAATTCAAAGTTTCCAAATTGCCGCCCCTTTTTCAAGTTCTCTCCTTTCCCGCCAGATGGATATCGACGACCGACGTTTACTTCACCCCGCCATGAAGGACAAATATCATACTTTAAAGTATAATTAAACTACATTCCTCAAGTATTAAAGATCACATTCATTAATTATTAGGTGCATTGGAACCTCTACTTCAGTCATGCTCAATATCGACTCTTAGCTATAAACAGGCCAAGTACTGCAATTTTCCATCGTTACTGTTGGCCTCCCGTATTTCTACATCACGTTGGGCCAGCATGGGATCAAAACTTCTGCATCATATATCTCAATATATGTAACATTACCCTATTTGAAACATCAACTGCATTTTCTTTCTTGGCGTCCACTTTCTCTCCAGACATGTTTTGATTCACTTAATCACTTACACCCGCTAAAAAACTTTAGGAAATATTGAAATCGTCACTATCCCGGTTCGAGTGTTTATACAGCACACAAAGATGGCGGTTAGCGTGGGTCACGTGACTACACTTGAACTTCAAAAAATACGCCATAGTAGCGATATCTTCCGGTAAAAATCAGAATCATACATTTTGGCGCCTACTTTCAATAATAATAATACTGACAAATATAAATTTACAGTACGGTGCTATCACACGATTTTATTACATTTCATTACCAAAAAACATTTTGCCTCATTCTTTCTAAATATCACTCTTCATGGCACATGCACAAAATTCCGAATAATATACACAAATGATACAGAATCAATACATAACCTACAAATGTAGCATGCAAATACCATCTCTTTCTTAAGATATTTCTGCAAAGGTAAAGTACTAAATGTATGATGCTGACCTCTCACACCTAATAGACATGTCCAAAATAAATGGTGCTTTACCTCCATGCACCTATACAATTTCATAGTATGTTATGTATGCAATGGGTAAACTTATCTTCAACTTCATGTTATTGTAGGAAATTGAAAAAGATCGTGTAGGAAATCAAATGCATGTGAAAGGTACACACTTCGAAGAAATGCCACTCTCTAAACTTTACTTTTTATGGATTCAATCTGCTCATTTAATTCACTTATAAAGGTAAAGCCAACTGACTCTCTAAGTATCTTACAGCTGACTGGAATACACTAGTCTTCCATCACGCAGAACTGCTGATCACACCTTGTCTTTATTCTTAAAAGCGGTGAACAACATCAAAGAATGCATCCATACTGTCTTACTATTTTGCTCTTCAACAAGCAAAGACTTCAGAGAGATACATTAACTGAAACTTTGAAGTCAAGAAAAAGCAGGTCCCTTTAATCACCACAATCAGTGTTGAACATTTTTTATCTCGTACAATGTGAACCACAATCTCATAAAAATGTTCAACTCCTATTCATTAGCCATGAGAAACAACACAAAATTAAACACGCTGCATCATATTTTTAATATGCTGCTAAGTCCTACCCTTGGAGGGTAACCTAACTATGCAAAAGGCTTAATAAATGTTACCTACTTGCCATCTATGTGCAAAGTTGGGGACTGAAACGAATGACAATAAAATAGATTTTCTTAAAAATGTGAAAACTTGTAAACCTTTTAATATTGAGTTTTCATTGTATATCATACCAAGAGAATAATATGAAGAAACACAAATATTTATAAAAATATTTCTAATGGTTATTACCATCCATACAGAACATATTATTCACAAATATAAAACCATCTTCTGAAACATTTAATATTATGAACACCTTGGATGAATATTATTACAGAGCATTTGGTTTCCTGTTGTGATTTACTTATAAAATAAAATACTACTTGGAAGATGGCTACACTTTGATTTCCTGACAGATATTCCACATCCAGGCTGAGAAGTGTCTGGCATTGATATCTTGAAGACCTTCTAATTGGAGTCAGTGCATGGGCATTCTGCGGAACCAAAAGCGAGCTCTGAAGTCATCCGAGCACGTGAGAAATGCTGGGGCAGTAGGAGAATGAACAATAAGCCTCACTGGACCATTGTGTCCTGCAACCAATCACGAACAATTCACAATCCCGTTGAGAATACATAGCTTGCAACAAGAATTTAAAGCACAAAACAAGTTTTAAGGGCTTTGTTTCCAATAATACAACCTGTAAATAGTAAAGTTTTTGTATCTATTTTATCATACTGGACTGTAATTTAATTATATTTTTCTTATAATATCCCTGTAAATAGTAAAGTTTTTGTATCTAATTTATCATACTGGACTCTAATTTAATTATATTTCTCTTATAATATGGTAGTGGAAGAAATTCCTAATATACTTACATGGAGAGAAGTTTTAAAGTTTGCTGGCTTATCAGTGCAGTGACAATCAAACATAACAGCTTCAATTTGTTGCAACAGCTTCTCACATAATCAGTTTAGCTTTCTCCAAAACACTATAAACAATTTTGTCCTTTCTCTGTAATATAATGTGTGTGCCCATATATATAGCTCATGCTGGTTTTCTAAAGCATACAAATAAAACCTGTCTCTGACGCATTTAAATTAAAACTAAAATTATAAATCAAAATGGTGAGTAGGGTTTGAAACACTGCAGTCACGGTACTAGTTCACCGTTAGCCTCACAAGGCTGACAGCAAACCACAGACAATTTCATTCACTCAATCAAGACTTGGTTTCGCAACTTACCAAGTGACAACAGCTGTTTACGCGATGCATTGCGTGAATTCCAGGCACACAAAGATGTTGTTGCCTCATCAGGAAACAGCACGTAATCCTCTGTGTGATTAAATACTGCCTGTGCCTTGTGCTCCTGCTTGCCTGAGACATAACAAATGATTCTTATTATCAATGATGTGGAACAATACCTGTGACTCATAACAAAACCATTACAAAAGTTTGTTTATTAATAATGATTCATACGTTAGATGCAGATCTACTAGAATTACAAAGTGATGTTTCATTTAACACCTAATTAGTTTTTTTTTAAGTTTCTGTAACGATGCTGTCTCATCTGAGTAGGTTAAACAGCATCAAATGGGAGACATTTAAAGATAAGTGGTACCAAAACCCATTCCAACAATATCTATTTAATATTATTCTCCCATCAACATCTAGGTCTAATAAATGGCTACTTTCCAAGATTCACAACCAAAATTTTGTATGCATCTGTTTCTAAAGTCCAACCTATGTATCAATCCCAGCCCATTTCTCAAGTCCCTGTTTGCCAACAAAAAGGAAACAAGCTGCTTGTGACCCAGCCATCCTACAAGTTCACAGCACAATACCAGACCATTTGCTTACCAGTGGTACCAGCACCAGTATAGGCAATCAGACACCGACTAGTGGACAGTTCCCAGAGCTTGATGAGCGAGTCCTTGCCTGATGAGAGTAGATACTGCAACACACGTCAACACATGCTTAAAGGTGGATAACTGGCATCCTATGGGTCACACCAGTCTCCTGCAGTAATGTACATCAATTCAATTAACACATTCAATGCCACCATTAAGTCCCTTCTTTATTATTTTGTTTTTCTGGCATTTGGTACTTACATTAAAAACAGTATAATTATTATTATTAAGACTTTTCTGAATGTGTGCTTGTTTACCAGTGTGATTTCTGAGAGTGGATACCACAGACCTCTGTAGCCCACATGTTAATATTCAAAGACGAGTAATTTTACATAACTTAACAGAGATTTTTAAGGTGTAAAATGAAGAAAATAAAAAAGTAAAAATCAAAGACAAACACCTTTAAAGGCCACAGGTTACGGTTCACCTGGTTTAATCCAAAATTATACCAAACAGAGTATAAATAAATCCAAACCACACCATCTAGGCCTATTTGTTGGGGAGTGTCCAGCAAAATGCATGGTCATGTACCTTCCCGTTGCGCGAGAACCTCACAGAACACACTTCTGCACCATCGTGAGCCTTAAGAAATGTATTGACGCAACGGCTGGATACACCATCCCAGATCTTGATGCTTCCATCTCGTCCAGCTGATGCATAAACCTTGGCATCTGGAGAATATCTACAACCAAATCGTACTCCTTGTCACTTAATCCTGATATAATAAAACATACTCTATTCACTCAGAATAACTTATATGATCAAGCAGGCACCTAAAACTTGGATTTTTGCAATGAATTAAAAAAGCTGTAACACCAAAAACTGAAGAAATTTTAGCATAATTTTTGCAGGTCTTTCACAAGAGAGACACACAACACCCAAATTCAGGGATCAACATAATTTGAACATTTATTTGAAAGTTGAGTTGAACTGTCTTGAAATGCTTAGAAAACAACTTTGTTTAAACAGTCATCTGGAAATAAAACCTCGCTAAACACATTTCAAATGAACTTAAACCACTGGACTATGATTTTTCTTTTCAGTCTTGTCACATGGAAATTGTCATTTCCATGGTAGGTCAACACACAATCCGAGCTCATTTTTCTCTCTTTCTAATTGAATGAGGCTCATACACAAATTTCAAAATTTCTTTTAATTAGACAAGATAATATAAGATTTTCTTTTCTCCCTGCGACACAGCATTTACTCACTTGATGGAGGTGATGCCCGCAGTGTGCTGATGACTGGGGATGCTGCACACAAAGCACTGTGCCGTCATCACGTCATAAAGCCTGATTACAGGGTGGGAGGTCCCCACCACCAGAAAGTCTCCAGTGGGATGGAAGGACATGCATCGAATCTGATCTGCATCCTGCACATACAGCGCATTGCTTTGTTTCATTTCAATGACCAGAATTCCAATCACGTGCCTACTTCTTAATACTGGAATCTAAGACAACCACTGGGCCCCACCCCGAATCAATCCAAACCAAAAGTATTTCGTTTTTCTATTATAAGTAACAAAGTCAACATTATACAGACTCATCAGCTACTGACACCAAGTGAAAGTCACACAAGTTTGAAACAGCTCTCCAGTTTGAACATGTTGGCAACCACTTGACTTTCCAGTTAACACGTGCACATGTGCGTGTGTGTTACCTTACACAAACATCAGACAAGTCTCAGGGCCACCACAAACAACTCACAGTAATAGTCCTGAATGCCTTCTTCACTGACGTTTTGCTGTAATCAAACAATTTGATTGTGAAGTCTCGGCTACCAGACACCAGAATGGGCTCACGTGGGTGGAACTCAAGACACGTCACTTCCTCAAGATGGTCATAAAGTGTGCGGATCACGGGATGACCTTGTGAGTCTCCAGACGGGTCCAAGCCATCGGGTGCAGACTTCGCCAACATCCTGTCCACATCCAGAATCTGCGAAGGCAAGGCATAAATTCATTTCATAAAAGTAAAAACTTTTTTAATTTACCTGTTTTGCTGCACCTTTCTATCACTTTTTCCAGTCATATCACTGTAACAAGCACTAGTTTACAGCAAAAGCAAATGTCCGCTCCAGAAAAATAGACTTACAGCTAGTTTCCTTACCTTGATAGATGCATCAACACTTCCTGTAGCAATAAGCTGTCCATCAACACTGAATGCACCAGCACGGCAGTTACCCTTGTGTGATGTTACGTAAGCTGTCTCATAAAGAGCCGGTTCAGGTGCTGTTGTCTGCACATCAGTCTCAAACTCAAGATCTAAAAATGTGAAGTACAAACACCAACATGTTCTAGTCCTTTCATATCAGACAGCCACTGTCTTTATACAATTTTGGCATGGTTTACTATACACATCCCTGACTGTGTCCATTACTGGTTATAATAAATGTAAAGGAAGGAGAAAAGATACACAAATTATTCTTCTAACAGGTTCTGGATGTCATAAGAAACACTATCATAGTTCCAGAGAACTTAGATCTCTGTTATAAACAATCATTTTCCTCCTCCTTTTATATTTTCTGCAGCAGATCCATTATGTACTCTTCATCACATCCCACTCTGCAGTCTTCCTGCCATTCCATAATCAAAAGCACACAAAAGTTGAAAATCCACATGTTTTAGAACAAACAGGCTCAAAACAAGGAGAGAACATGTCATAAAAATATTATGTATTTCCTTCCCAAAAATGAGTGGAGGGGTACATCAATCAAATAGAGAATTACAGGAGTAAATATGATATGTCTGTTGGTGAGTTATGTCTTATATCTTAAGATATGGATGTGTCCATAAATATAATTGCGGTGAGTTAGGACGATGAAAGTAATAAACCTACCTAATCCACTTGATGTCAAGCCCTCTGGTCCTGGAACTGTCAGCACAGGGCCTGTTTTCTGTGGCCGTTCTGGTTCATGCTGAAGGCCTGCCATCACCACATGCAGCAGCCTGTCTGATGGAGGACATGGTGGATCAGCTTGTGCTACTGCTGACAGACCTACAGCTAGACTCTGGTGCCCATCATAAAATAACTGGCTGAAACATTCATGCAGAAGCATAAGGCAAAATGTTAATTTTTCAATGCCATCCATAATGAATATTCAATAACCTAATAAACTATGGAAATCAAAAGTAACAAATACCTCACTCGAGAGGAGTATGGACAGACCAGTTAACACCATGTACAAACAAGTTACCGAAATTATACAAAAAACTGTAAGTATGTAACGTACCTTATCATCAAACGATATAATAAATCTCTTGCTTTTATTACGTTTTTTGGATCAACAGTTTCATTATTCGTTGTTGGTGTTGCTGCCATAAATATGAATTTGTTAATATACTACCTAAACTTGATTTTGTTTACGATCGCAGATATGGTTGCCAACTCGCAAAGTCGATTTTCAGATTCGATTGTCGAAATCGCGCCCTTTTACAGTGACAAATGAAGCATTGATTGGCTTTCCACGGAGATAACCTGCAAATGGCCAATTCTGAATCAAGAGGTGGACACCCGAAAGGAGACAACCAGCTGAAGAAACCTCAAAGATATAAATCTGATTCTGAACATGTTATAAGAAAACGTTTACCACCTCGACTACCACGCAGGAATAACGACATTTATATTACAAATAAGTCGAATTACCAGGTGAGTATACATAGAATGATACACATCGTCCCGATGATGGATGGAGTAAACACCTCCGAAACAACGGTTAACTTGTTCGAGACTGTACAGCGCAATATTCTAGAAGGCTGCCATCTTCATACTCGCCGCCGCGAGTACCTGAAATCTTAATATTGATTTTGCAACTGTTAATTTCATGTGCTTAAGTGGACTTCCTCAGCATTGTATTTACACATACCTACATGTTGTATGTGCAGTCAGTTTGTATTTTTTCTACATTTCTTCCATTGGGTGTTTTACTCTTTATGTGACATATCCAGTATCAGTGTATGTGATAAACATATATGTATATGATAAGTAAATGAATGAATGAATGGCTCCAGTAATAGAGGATCTTGGTATCTTGATGTGACAAACTTCATCATATTATATTCTTTATTTATAGAGTCAGCTCGTTCGCTGTGAGAAACTGTTGAATGATGGGGAGTCTGATATTGTGATACATGGATTAGGTGCAGCAATTCCACAGGCTGTGAACTTGGCTCTTCAACTTAAGACGAAACATCTAGGAACTGTAGAGGTTGCTGTGAATACTTCAACTGTTGATATTGTGGGTAAGGACAGTTGATAAAACTTTATAACATGTTTGTTTCCCACATTGCAATATTGTACCTCTTAATATTAAAAAAAGACATTGATGCCAACAGATCCAACCAGTACCAAGGTTTAGAATGCATGGAAATTATTTGTGCTTTATTCAATGATTGTCAGAGCTCAGATCATATAACATTGAATGAGAGGATGATTAATGAATGGTGAATCAGAAAGGATGTGGAAGGAAGCAGTTGTGACCTAATTTAAAGTACTGTCCCATCATTTACCTGGAGGAACTAAGAAAAGCCAGTCAGGATAGATGTTCTCTAGACCAAAATGTAAACTTGAGACCTTCTGACTGTGAAACGAGTGCTAACCATTCTGCCTTATTAGTTCGTAGAATGGGTAGAGCTCAGTTTCTGCTTTTGTATATATCTGTGCAGTATGGTGTTTAGTTTAGTTACTGGGAGAACTTTACATGTGTGTTTATTTTGGAATTATAAGAATTAAGTTCATTTCATGACATTTTTATATTATTCAATACTGCTTTAAGGAAGGATTTTATCTTTTACAGGGTTGATAGGAACTAAAGACAGGCACAGAAGTCTGTATCTTAATATTTGCAATATCAAAAATCATATACCATGTTTAGAAACACTTTTTTAATTTTTATTATTACAGTGTCCACGAAAGCAAATGATCATTTATGGCTGTTCAACAATGGAAATAACAAACAAAATAATATATTATTTTCATCAAAAACACAGCATGGAAATGTTTAATATGCATTTTAATTTGATTTGCATCTCTCAGATGACCTTGAACCCATACATGATGAAGGGGAGTATGGAACGCAGACACGCCAGAACTCTTCTGTTCACATCCGTGTGTACCGAACCGCTTTGCGTGGAGCTCAAAGGTGACATTCAGCTTTAAGACTGTGCAAGAGAAAATGCTCTTCACACTGAATGAACTAGTGCAGTGGCTTGGACTCACCATCTTTGAGATATGGATCAATCTTCTCGCCATTACACTGTTCACAATTCTCTTAGCCCTGCGTCTGGAAAATATCATCACGGGTGGTAGTGCATGGTGGATTGTGTTTGCTCCCTTATTTGCGGCAGATGGACTCAATGCATATTTTTGTACCATCGTATATATCCGGATGCAGCTAGAACGGCTGTACAAGGTGGCACTGTTCCGGGTGTCCTGGAGCTTCCTGTTCTTGGTGTTACTGTTTGTATTTAAGTTCCTCCTGTGCCAGAAACTTTCAGGGCAAGGCCACCACGAGTACTCAGAAGTGCTGGCACCGATATTCATCCTGCTTCAGCTCATCATGGTGAGGGCTTGCCAGATGCACTGAGAATAAGACACACAGGAATTTAAAAATGTAGCAAGTGTTTGTCCTGTCTGTAGATATATTCCATGTAAGAACATTAAATAAAACAAAATAGAAGCATTCTTGATCCATAGTGATCTACTCTGTCTGTCTTCTTTTATTACATTGCACCCAAACCCTCTTCACAAGGCCAAACTTGATGAAATGTTTATTATTTTGGTCCTGTCTACGTGTGTTGTAGTTGACACAACTGAGTTAACTTAATGGGTCTGATATCTTCAGAACCAGTGTATGAGGTTTGAGGTCAAAGCTGGTATTGTGGGTTGTAAGTAAGGAAGTGTCTGTTATCAATATAGGACACTGGTGAGTTATAAGGGACAGAGAGACAGGCATGATGATGGGGGTTTTATGGTAAAAAAGACAAACCTTTCATTCAGCAGTCAATCTCATGGTTACGATCCTGCACTAAAGGGCTTATACAAAGCAGGATCTGTAGAGTACTCCTTCTCTTACTTATGCCTGCATCCATTGTGGACTGAAGTTCATTATTACTGCAAAGCAATCTGAAAAAAAAAAGACAAGAGAAGGGATATCACACCTTCTGCATTGTTACACTAAGGAATAGATAAACAGCAAAATATCCAGATGGAAAAACACAGTGGAAGAATAACCTCTAATAAGATTTCTAAAATAATTAGAGAATTTGAATGCAAGTGAAGCAGCAGCTTAGAAAGATGCAAAGTTTCTGTTCTGTACTACCTGTTATAGAAATGCATTGCTTGCTCCCTCCCTGTCATTCCACCCCAACATAAAATCAAATCTTCCCTCCATGACCAGTAACGGCCCCTAGAAGCGCTCAGCAGAGGGAATGGAGATGGATCAATAAATTGGGGTGAAGGAGAGAGATGGAGACAGCTGATCTGGGACATGCCTGCCACTTCATGTGGGCATGAAGTGTTCTGTGCAACAATAGCTGAAGCATGTTCACAAACAACTACAGTCAACTGCTAGAATACGGTGGTGAGCCAAACTTGTTTTACTGTCACTGACAGTGCAATTCACACTCGTACTGCACCTAAATTAAATATACGTTTTGATAACTGTAATAAGAAAATTTAATATTTTAGAACATACTGCCAAAGTGTTTTGATAAGAAAATAGGGACATTATTAGGAATATAAAGCTAATAAAAACATAATATTACTTCAGTGTAGTGGTGAACATGACACAAAACGTCAGGCTTTATGATGTGGTAGCTTGTTGTTTGACAGATGGATGCAAAACCTTGTAACCTCTTTCTCTTCTTTATGTGCATGTTGAAGGTACCAAACATAGTTATTTACAAACCTTAAAGGTTATGACAATATATCTTTCAGGCACTGGTAATCTGCGACACATCCTGCAAAAAGACAGATCACTAACTTGTATATTCTCATATTTATCAACTACTCTGGCCTTTTTGAGCGCTATCATGAGAATGGCATGCTATTTTTGTGCAGACTTGGGAAGTAACAGCACAGCAGTTAACTTCCTCTACAGTCTGGGTGATGATAGCAATGCTTCCAACTTCTCCACCATCTTCCCAATACTCACCACCACTGATAACCGTCCCAGGGTCCACTATGGGCCAGTTCTGCGGCTGACTCCTTCACACGAGGTTCTCAAGGCTCAGCTTAAGTGGGGCTTCCTCCTGCACACGTATGGTTTTGCCTGCCTATTCTTCATTCTTGCCTTCTATGCATTCTTCTCCATTCTGAATCTCAGGTGAGGATTATTATGGGCTTTCCTACAATTTAACCTGCTGCACTGTATGGTTACAGAACTTGGTCTCTCAGTCTTTGTAAGAGACAAACAGAAAGTGAAATAATTTGAGAAGTGACAAGAATATTATGATGAATAATGAATTGGAAAGGCTATGGAAGGCAGCAGTCATGGCTTCATTCAAGACACTATATTGGCATTTTCCTGGATGAACTGAGGAAAACCGTGATAAACCTTAGGCAGGATAACCATTCTCTGGGCTGAGATTTGTACCTGTGACCTCCCGAATACAAAGCAGAAGTGCTGAGCACTAGGCCACAATGTTTGGGCAATAAGCTGACCAACTTGATGAAGTAAGATTATGTGCTGTGGCATTAGTTAATCCATAGATAATGGAATAATGAATCATGGGTAACAAGTATTACAATTACAGATCCTTGATCTCAAGCCGGCCGTTCATGTCAACAATCAACGGGTTCTTATGTCTGCTGGGCATCTCCAGGGCTGCCTGCCTCTTCATAGATCCCTACAATCTGCGTGAGGTCAGTCACAGTCAACTCACAATCTAAACAAAAGTGACACTTGGAGGAAATTCAACAAACATATAAGTCATGTTGTTAAGATGCAGTCATAACCTCCAGAAATCCTTGCACTTGATGCAGCAAGAACAACAAACAAAAATTAGATGGTTGTTGGCATCACAGAGAATGACTTGTCTGCACTGGGTATGACGAGTCTCTCATGTTGTGGCGCAACTGGCTGTCAGTTGAATTAAAAAAAAATCCCACAGTTCTTCCTTAGTTCTTATCAGGGAGAGAATTACAAATAGATTCAGACATATTTTGGCTACATCTTGAAGACTTCTTTTAAATGGAATCCTGCCTGCCCTTCCAAATGCATTTAAACAGCAGCAAATTGCAAAAAATGTTCCCCTTCCCCAGGGACATTAAGTAACTGGAACTCGTGTATATTGTGTAGTACATAGCAGGGTCATGGATAATTTTGAATTTCAACCAATAAATCTTTTCACTGTGGCCTATGAGACACCATTATGAGACATAAGGCTTTTTCTAGCATGACAGTGAACCCTAGTCTAGTATATGGAATGCAATGAAAATCATACCTGACATATCACCACAGGGCAGTTTACGCTACAGCCTTGCAAAACTGAGCATCATTAATATGAAGACCAGGTAATTTGGGTAACTCAATAAGGATATTAAACAAAACTGCCACAGAAATATTTTCTGCCTGGCAGGTTATGCCAAAGGTTCTCGGATCTGTCTTGTGGGATGTCGGTTTCCCATGCATCACATCAGCGTTCTGCCTCATCCAGCTTGCGTTCCTGCAACTCACTCAGGTAATACCACCGCCTGCTGTGACTTCCCTCCTGTGTATCCATGTTCTGGTTCACCCACTGCATGCACATTATTGAACCCACTTATCAATTTCTGTCCATCACTGTGTTTAGGTAAGACCATGCATTTGCATGAATCTGCAACCAGCAAACCCTCTGGCATTATATATGGAAAGGTTCAATGCTATGAATGCAAAATCTCATCACTTAATGTGTTCCTAGGCTAGATCAATCCACTTTACATTAACACAACCTACCGTATATTTGGGCCTCATATTACAGAGCAGATTCTGAGAAAAAATATTTTACTGCATTTATTGAAAATTCAAATACTCACCAGTATTTATGAAGCAAAATGGCAGAGCAGCACAAAGAAACTGTGAAGTGCTAATTTTAACTTCACCTGCAGTGTTTTCATGTTATTTGGCATAATTTATTACGATTTACAAAGACTACAGTATATTAATATCCAATGCATTAGGACAAAATGCATGAGTAACTGATAACATCCATGCCTTGAGTGCGACTCGAACCCATGGTCGCAGCGGCCAGGCACATGAGGTTCATGCTTCAGACAGTGTGGCCACTGCGCCGGCATTACTGGTTCATTATTTAACAGTGCTGAATCACCTATACAGGTTATATAGCCAGTTAAATGCATTATTTTTGGATCTCTTATGATATTAACATAAATACTACCTCCTCATGACAAGCTGAGAAAGGTAAAACTATAAAACTGACCTCAAGAAAGCTACGAATATTTTGCATATCTGTGTTTTGTATTTTCAACAAGTCATTTCTCACAGTAACCATTAGAGAGACATATGTTGTTTCCTTTCAACATCATGGAAACATGCTATGAAGTTAGAGGGTACTGAAATAGTTTGTAGGATCTGAGGTTATCATGTTTTTGTTTTCAACTTCTAGAAGTTGACCAACATTTAAGACATCCTTGCTGCCTCCATCCTCAGGGTGATGAGTAAAGCTCTTACCACTCTCTGGATGGAGGCAGCAAAGCCCTCTCAAAAGTTGGTAAACTTCTACCAGACTACACATTGCAACAACCCAGAGGAGAGCCATCTTTGAAATAGCGTGACATATGCAGTGGTTATACGCCCTCCACTTCAGGTAGCATGCAACTCCATGTCGCACGCAGATCAATCCCAATGAGTGTTTATGTGTTCTTACCTAAATATGTGTACTTGTCACCACAGATAGCAGATGATAAATCAAATGCCAAATATGCCTAATTAAGAAATGGACAAGTCGCCTATGAGGTTTGAGGTTCTCATGGCAGTGAAGATGTTGCCATTGGTCCTCTGGGTACTATTGATGTGTGGACTTGTAGGTAGATAACAACATTTCAATGTTACTACCCAGAAGTCCAACACCAGAAAGATCACAGTTTATGTAGGGTTGGTCTCAACTTTAGTCCTGAATTGTGAGTTATTTGAGGACAACTAAAAACAGCAAAGTGATGGGTTACGGACAGGAAAATCATCAGGTTTTAAAATTCCCAATGGTGACAGAGGTTTTTCACTTTGCCACCACATTCAGATTCCCTGGGCAGGGATGTTCTTTCTGGAGCTGACCACTCATCTCCATCAAGTGTTCAGGTATAGAAGCTTTACATTCTGATACCCCCATGAGACTATGGCACGGCTCATTACAGCAGAAACATTGTGTTACTCTGATGAACGGACTGTCCAAATGGTATTGCCAGTTAGAGGGTCCCTCCATTCCCTTCACACATGGCCATGAAAGTATTGACACTTCAGGTATAGAAGCTTTACATTCTGATACCCCCATGAGACTATGGCACGGCTCATTACAGCAGAAACATTGTGTTACTCTGATGAACGGACTGTCCAAATGGTATTGCCAGTTAGAGGGTCCCTCCATTCCCTTCACACATGGCCAGCTGGACTGTCTGAAAGTATTGACAAATGGCCAATAAAGATAAAATTTCTTCCAACCGAAAATAAGTGTCTAAGAAATCATGTGATGCTGGTGGAGTACTCAACAAGAAACTGCAGTAAACAATAACAAGGCAAATGTGCCTCATGTGGTGACAAGTGCTGCCTGTCTTGCTGTCTTCATGTTTCTTTACATGTGGTGTGTGAAGTGTGTATTGTAACACTGTTGTGTCAATGTTGCTTGGTGTTCTCTCCCCAGTCCCGCCAACTTGGTCGCCGCAAACTGTGTGTCCTCTCCCACGGAGTCACCATCTACATAGTGCCCCCTTGGTCTTGTGTTGGCAAATACATGGTGCGTACCATCCTGACTCTAGTGGTCCATCTGGAAACTAACACAAAACAGATACACTGCAGGAAGTGTGACAGAAATACTACTTCACGTCCTTTTTTCACAATTCTAAGAATTCGGAACAATGTGACAGATGCAGAATTTACCTCCATCCCAAATTTGATTCACACTACATATACAAGCATGCCCACATACTAATATCTTAATGTAAATTATTTACTCTTCAAGAAATGCTATATGTTATATGTTATTTTGATTTTAGTAACTAATGTTTCCATCTCTGCTTGAATTTGGCCTTGCTGTTAGGCTACTGTGAAGATCTGTAAGCATAATGGCAATGTGTTTTACTCTAGTGGCCCTGAGATAAGAACTGAGGCTTTGTGGCCCCACTAGCAAAAAAGAATAACAATTTCGGAGTGGTTGTTCTCAGAGAGCAGCAGAGTGAAAGACATTGCCATCTTACCACAAGGTCTCCTCTGGTGTCGAATGGTAAGCAATAGACCCAGAGAATACATTTTACTGCCGTTAACTGCTACATCACAACTGAAAATTCTGTATCATGCCTCAGTGTTGCCAAATACAATGAAATCGTCATGTATTTTTAATACAATACAATAACAATACATACCACCTGCTTACTGTCATTTCATATGTTTGAGTAACTAAATTCTCCAGGAGACTGTAAATATTTTAATACAATACAATAACAATACATACCATCTGCTTACTGTCATTTCATATGTCTGAGTAACTAAATTCTCCAGGAGACCGTAAATATTTCTTTTTAACCCATATTTAATGTTGACAGACATTTCTAAAATGGCTGCTAGAGGTACCACCATTGACAGGTATTCCAAACATGAACAGGAGATTTTTTTTGGTCAGAAAACATGTAAATACAATAAAATTATAAAAATCAGCCAAAAGTACAAACTTTAAACCTTTCACTGTGCACAGCTGAACTTAGGTCCTGAGAAGCTGCGACACAAGTCATGCCTCTCACTGATCATCACAGCTCACTTCAGCTTTATCATCGGAGCAGACATAGCTGTTGGTTTAGAGGATCAGCTGATGGTGAGTGGAATGTACGCAGTGTGAATTGCAAGTATTTCCAATACCTTCTCTTCTGCAATGTTGTACGAAGTCTGTGTTTCATTATTTTAACATTTATTATGTTGTATTGCATTGTATAGTCTGCCTCACAAGATGCAGCCATTAAAGCAATAGGACTTCAAGTCAAGAAGACAATATTTTATCATGCAAATATGAATTTACATATGAAAACAAACAACTCAAAAGTTCACCATTGAACCTGAGAGTTAACCAGTTCACATCCTCATAATGTATTATATTTACTTCCCCAGAATATTCCTCTCTTCCTCTTGGTCTACCAAGTGATCACTTTCCCTCCACAGCTTGTAAAGTATGTGGTGCAGCTTGTGTTTCTCTGCTGGGGCATCTTCCTTTGCTGCACATTCCTGTATGGCGGCTGTCGCGTGATGGGACTGCTCCGTAACATGCCTGGTGGATTTCTTCGCCGAGATCCCTCAGATCATCAGCAGAAGGGTATGTTACTACCATCTCACATCACCAAAATATTTACAATTGCTTTTTGTTCTGCTGGTCCCAGACACAGCTGCTCAAAAACAACTTACTTTGTGGGGAAGTAATTCTCACCTCTCCTTCTGCATGTCACAACCACAAAACAATTTTAAAGACTTCGATTAAATTTGGAACTTAGGGCCTACACTAAGCAAATTTACATCTGGTCCATATCAGCAAAATATAAATATCCCCTTCTTTACATGAATTTCAAATTGAACATTTTAACATCTAACAAATCTGCTTGAACTACAAGTAAAAACAATTTATGCTCACATCTGTAGGATTGAATAGCACTATCAACAGTAGATTTTTATTTTCGATGACTTAACAAAACTAATAAGGCTCATAAATTCCAGTCTCTCTCTTGTACAGGTATAATGCAGCTTGCCCTGCTAGCTCCATACAACAACCTTGCAAGCTCTGTGGCAGCAGCACTAGTTCCTACACTTCTCACACCGAAGATTCGTATCACCGACGAAAATGACCGCACGTTCAGTTATGGTAGTGACTCAAACAACCAGTTAGCAGATGCAAATCAGCAACAGACTGACGTTGAGTATGGTAAGACATCACACAGGCTCACACACTATCATTGTAATCGTCATCCCTGAAGCCAGTTGGCCTCTTATGGGTAATACAAATGATAGTATTTCATCTTTTTGGTCTTCGGAGCATATTCTTCTGGGTTGACATTTCATAATTTTTGGGCTTCTATTTTAAGTCGCTCTTTGACTACTTCTTGCCAAATTCTTCTAGTCTTGTATAAAATATTATCAATGGATCTTGAAGTCCTGCCTGATGAATGATAGCCTCTCTATCTCTCTTTCAAAGCAGAAGGCTGCAGCAATAACTCAGAGCCTCTACCAAAAGGCTTAGTTCGACCTGGCAGTCCTGACCCACGGAGGAGATTGTCATCCAGTGTTCAGGTGCGTCCACCTACATCTACACCTAGTATCGTGGTGTCTCCAGGCAGCCGACGCCCCAGCCTAGCAAGTCGTAGGGGAAGCGAGATTGGAAGCGCAACAGGTTGCCAGCAAGGCAGTGAATTCAGCAGAAGAGGTAGCGAGATAAGTCGACGAGACAGTGAAATCAGCAGAAGAGGTAGCGAGATAAGTCGACGAGACAGTGAAATCAGCAGAAGAGGTAGCGAGATAAGTCGACGAGACAGTGAAATCAGCAGAAGAGGTAGCGAGATAAGTCGACGAGACAGTGAAATCAGCAGAAGAGGTAGCGAGATAAGTCGACGAGACAGTGAAATCAGCAGAAGAGGAAGTGACATTGTGAGCTTGTTAGGTAGTCAGCAAGGCAGTGATATCAGCAGAAGAGGTAGCGAGACAGGTCGACGAGGCAGTGAAGTGAGCAGAAGAGGAAGTGAGGTGTGAAATCAGCAGAAGAGGAAGTGACATTGTGAGCTTGTTAGGTAGTCAGCAAGGCAGTGATGTCAGCAGAAGAGGTAGCGAGATAAGTCGACGAGACAGTGAAATCAGCAGAAGAGGAAGTGACATGAGTTTGTTGGGTAGTCAGCAAGGCAGTGATGTCAGTAGAAGAAGTAGCGAGACAAGTCGACGAGGCAGTGAAGTCAGCAGAAGAGGAAGTGAGGCTGAGCATGGTCCAGGTATGTCATGGCTCACTCTGACTTCCCAGAATGTAAATAATTTGCAAGATCCTTTCAAATATGTATTAAAAGAAGTTCCTGCTTGAATGCATGTATTCATGGGCACAACACACTTGAGATCTCTAGCAATTGGGAGATTAATATTGAAATGGATCTTCAAAAAAAGGTCTGAGAATGCAGGGGGAGATTAATATTGAAATGGATCTTCAATAAAAGGTCTGAGAATGCAGGAATACAGGAATACACTGACCTACTTGCTACAGGCTAGTTAATAAAGACTACTAAACACATGTTTAGCTTTGGTCTAGATGTACAGGTCAAAATATATTATTAAGAGACTAGTAGACTTCAGTAGTTCTGGAGCCCTGTATAAACTGCACTGAAATAAATCACAAAAGACCTGTACAGTGGACTTTTAGGAACATGGTGATGGAACTTCATAGTTGAAAGATAATCAACTTCTCCCGGTAGACTCTGTATTGCAAAACTGATTAGCAATGTTCATAGGTCTTGTCTACAACCTGGAGACTTCTGGCCTCTTCCTGGGGAGCCACATTAATCGCCAGGCCACCGCTGAGGCTAGCAGCAGAAGGGGAAGCACGTGCAGCCGAACAGGAGATGCCGGATGCTCCAACCAGAGCCGTCAGCTTGGGACTGAGCTCATGAGGCGAGGCAGTAGCTGCAGTAGGATTGGTGGCGAGTGCAGCAGTCTGGGAGACATCGCAGAGGACGAGATCCACATCTTGCAGCAAGGTACTCTTCTCAAAGACATGGGACCAAGGAAGCTAAATGTTAAAATAGCTGAATTTTGAAATGAGAAAACAAAGAGTTAAAAATAATTACATACAGTGGATAACTTTTTGAAAACCTGACAGTCGCCCAGCTGGTCGACACATATTCTGCCTTTTATGAAACCTGAAATTTCATTATCATGTCCATAAGAGTTTGCCACCAGTTCTATCCTAAGTCAGCTGAATCCAGTCCTCACCTTCAAATCCTATTTCACGTCAGCATTCGACAAGCTAACAGCTACTGAATGGAACATTTTGTCCACTTGTGTGACGCAGAAGAATTGCCTGTGTCACCAATCAGTCTTACAGTGGGCAGAGCAAGAAGTGTGCCTCGCAAGAAGAGTTTGACAAGGCAGCAGTCAGAGCCCACTGTTCCATGTAGCAAGGAACAGCAACATTCAAAACAGCAGGTGGTGAGCTGCAGCGAGCAGTCAGAGGATGAGGTGACAGCAGAGACAAGCTTATTGCCTCACCAGGTAGAGCAGCCCACTGAGGAAAAGGTGAGTACATTCAGCAATCAAACAGAAATCATTATCATCAGATCTTACTTAAAAGTTGTCTATGCTTCCAAGTGTCAGAGATACAACAGGTGTTTCTTTTAAAGTTTCTACATCTGTACATTTGTCAGATGGGTTGACAATTTGTTACACTTGTATGCAGCACACAGAAATTTATTCTTTCTATAAATCCACAACATGAATTAATCTACCTGACTACATAACAGAGTCTGATGAAATTTGGAGTTGGAGGTCAGCATCAATTTGAGGTGGCCAATGTTATACACTGTGACAGCAAGTGAACCATCGGACATGATTTGAGGTGGCCAATGTTATACACTGTGATAGCAAGTGAACCATCGGACAAGACCCTAAGCCAGTTCTATCCACCTAATTAACTCAACAAAATACCTGAATGAGAGCTATAAAAGCATGGGCTGTTATAACAAATGCTGTATTTGGCAGAGTACATGGGTATAACCACTGGCATTTGTCAAAGACTTAACTCACATAAATGTGTTCGCTTGCAGCAGACTGATGACCTCACCTTGCACTCCATTCTCAACCACATAGCATACGTAAACAGGGCAGCACTTCCGAACCAGTCCAACATGGCCATACCTGCCCCTACAAGCAGGAAAAGTCAAGTGCAGAAGGTTCTCAAAGGAACATACACCACTGCTCTGCTTGGTCTCATGCTGTGTGTGTCTGACATGGGCAGGCTCTGTGGGCCTTATGGGCTCATGGCACCTGTCACCAACTCAACAGGCATGGCCCCTGTGAGTACTCCAGGAAATAATGTCTCTTCCTGGTCCTACTTCCTCCCATCTATGCCTAGGTCTCCAAGTGATATTTTATCTTCTGACAACAGAATACTTTTCTTACTGTAC